AGTAATCCAAATACCAGCGGCCGATTATCTTGGGATCACTATTGCTCACCCATACACGCAGCCACAATAACTTTCGACTTGCAGAATCAATGCAGCCATACACTGCCAAAGGGAATGTTGAATTCTGATAGCCCATTAACTTATCGTGCCCGTCTAAGGAGTGCACCCAATTGGGCCCCTTGGTGGTAAAATTTCCCTTTCCACGATTTGTTTTCTTAACACCAACCCCCCCGCGTTCTTGTAGACCTTCAGGATCTAGCTCAACCATAACAGCGTGAATAAGATCTCGTGGAACATTCAAATTGTGCTCTTGCCTGACCTTTTTATGCATGGCTCTATAGCCAAGCAATTGGCCAGGCCCATTTAATTCCTTCTGAACAGCATTCTTGACTTGGTCAACTGTCACATCTCTGTCGATCCGTTTGATGTTGAATGCTTCAATTCGTCTATCAAGAGTGCGCATACTCCATGCATACTGTGGAAAATCTCTTTTTAGGAAATCCATAATCTCAGCACGTTGGAGTCCTTCTCGTATATATTTTGAAATGTCCTCTTTAAGTTGTTCATCTTCGAGCCAGCTACTGTTTCGAAAGTACGCCATGTTTGCAATACTGCGCTCGCAAGGCATTCTGGTATACTATGGCAGCTCTAGGCCATGTGTAAATTTCAATTTATTTTCGAATTATTTTGTTTTAATTTAAATTGAAAAACATTTCAATTTGTTTTAATTTTGTTTTACTTTTATTTATTATTTTTTTAAATTCATTTTGTTTTTCTTTTTTGTTTATAATAAATTCTATTTCGTTTTTTTTTATTTATTTTTTTTACTGAAATATTGAATGGCAGTTCTCGGCCACCATAGACCGGCAGCCGGTCACGGTTTATCAAATATTAAATGGCCGGCAGTCTTAGTGACTATAGTTGAATGTAAAAACTTTTGTTTGCGTTAAATTTCACCGAGCTTGCCGTTAGCTCATATGGCAAGGGCGCTGTGTGCGGAAAGTTAAACGCAGTCGGGGTTGGGATGTGTTTTGTCTGACTTAGCATTATTTTTTCTTAAAATTTTTTAAACTTTTTTTTCCGACTTTTCTAACTCTCAAAAGGTTAGGGTTAGGGGTTAGGGGTTAGGGTTAGAAAAGGGTTTGGGGTTGGGGATAGGTTTATCTTATAAAAATTCAACTTTAACTATAGTCACTAGACTGCCGGCCATTTAGTATTTGATAAACCGTGACCGGCTGCCGGTCATATAGTCACTTCGAATTTATAATATAACGAACTGGAAATTTTCTGCACTAATTCTGGTATTTCTCTAAAATGTCGTGAAAATATGGATTGTTTATTTTTAAATACAATCAAGCAAATAATATTGTTTCTCTTGTCGTGTGACTTGTTCAGTTGTACAATATTTGAAGTGATTTTAATGCGGATTTTGTTCACCTCGCATTGGTATGTTGATAAAAATATAGTTTATATACTGTACTTAATACTGCTAGAATATTTCATAGTCGATTTACATGTAATATTTATAACACACAAAATCTTGACACAAAACAGATATGCTGCTTGGAAACAGCGTGCAATATTGTTATTTACTAATAAATAGATGCAGCCAGCCAATACACAAATCCGTGCAGTATATTAATGGCATTAAAAAAGTTTTCACGTGTCCAAAAAAAATACCTGCACTATAGTGGTAAGTCCATACCAAGTTAATATCTCTAACATATAAGTTTTAGGTTTTTATATATCAAGCCATTGATATTTGAGTGATCAAGATAGGTATTTATAACTGACCATTTGTTCCAGGCTTAATTGCATGATACCATTGTAAAATCGTCTGGCGTTAGGCAGAGTAAAATATAAAGTAGGGTACATCTGGGCACATATATTGCCACTAATGGCACTTATAATTGAAGGGTTAATATAGAAATTTTGTATTTCATAAAGTATTACAATGCTTTTGAAAGGGATAATTTTAAGTGAAACCCACCTGTTGTGGACTTAAAAGTAAAATTGTGAACTGATGATGCAGAACCACTGGTAGCTAGGGATTGTGGGGCACTAAATTTACTGTTTTTGTAGATTTTTGTCCAAGCAATTAAGTTATAAAGAACAGAATAATAGTGTTGCCACATTCATGTAGTTATAGGCAAATGGTTGATTTGTCAAATATCAAGTATGGATTGTTTCATTATAAATACTGGAATGATCATACTGGATGGTTGTACAATAAGCAAAATTTGCCTTAGGGCCTGTTTATATGGAAGCCGGGCTGGCCCGCTTAGCAAGACAGCCCGGTAAGCGGGATGAATTTCTCTCGTGTTTATATGAGAAAAATTCATCCCGCTTGCCGGGACAATTTTGTTACATTGTATTGTTTTGACAGATGTTAAAAATAGCTTGCAGCGGTATCTTTGAACTTTCATCCCGGCAACCAGCCTAGCCTGCTTGTGAGTGTTTATATGGAGAAATTTCCATCCCGGTAAGCGAGATCTCGCCTCTTTCAAGCGAGTCCATATAAACGCACAATAATTTTTACTATAAAAATAACTACACAGCGAGATCTCGCTTACCCGGCTGTCTCACGTAGCGGGCCAGCCCGGCTTCCACATTAACAGGCCATATAAACAGGCCATGTAAATTCAGTAAGCCAGTATCTAGGCTGGCTTGCATTACATATAAAACATCCCCTATAATCCTACAATAGTTGGAAAAAATTAAAAAGTAAAACAAATCTAGAATGAAATATATTTCCCTTCACTATATGCAATTTGTAGTTAGTTGTATATATAGGCACAAAAATGGCTGAAATAGTTTACAATTCAATACAATGTCATTGTGTTGACATGAAAATATTCTGTTTTTGTAGCCATAGGTGTTCATTTAAACCATGAGATGCTCAATCGTATGAACTATGAATGCAGATTTGCAGTGGTGTAGTGGCATAGACTTGTCTATGTAAGATATATTGAGCATTAATTGCATAGTTTAAATTAACACCTATGGCTACAAAAACAGTTGGTAGTCAGAATATTTTCATGTCAACACAATAACATTTTATTGAATTTTAAACTATTTCAGCCATTTTTGTGCCTATATATACAACTATAACTACAAATTGCATATATTGAAGGGAAATTTACTTCTTAATTTTTTCCAACTATAGTAGGATTATAGGGGATGTTTATATGTAATGCAAGCCAGCCGAGATACTGGCTTTAGCGGCTTACTTTACTAAGGCAAATTTTGCTTATTGTACAACCATCCATGCAGTATGAGCATTCCAGTGTTTATAATGAAACAATCATAATAGCTAGATATTTGACAAATCAACCATTTGCCTATAGAACTACATGAATGTGGCAACACTATTATTCTGTTCTTTATAACTTAATTGCTTGGACAAAAATGGGAAAGTACAAAACATGGACCCCCGGTCCATGGACCCCTTGTCTGGACCTAGCCTGCGAACAGGCTCTCAAGCTGAATTGAGAGCCTGCATCGATGACTAATGAATTTGAATATCTGCCCCGTAACGTTCATTTTTCCAAATATGGAATGTCTATCCTTATATGGTGTTGTTTACAACTTTCGTGCAAACTAAATTTAGACCGTGCAAACTAAATTTAGACCGTACATTTTATACTGTTTTTTGAAATATAAGATATTCAAGCAAAAGTTCAAATGTTTTAAATACTGTTTTCTCAAAAGAAAACATTTCGTGCCTTGATATAAGATGTCCAAGACCAATTTGATCAGTTAATGTGTTTTTTTATGCATAGTGCTTCAGTTGACATATATAGAGCTCAGCGGAAACATATAAATTATAGCATCTGACCAATGAGAATTTCACGTCACGATTTGAGACGCAGATATTCAAATTCATTAGTCATCGATGCAGGCTCTCAATTCAGCTTGAGAGCCTGTTCGCAGGCTAGTCTGGACCGGGTCCATGGACCCCCTCTATGGACCGGGTCCATGGACCCCCTCCATGGACCAGATCCATGGACCCCCTCCATGGGCCGCATTTTTCCAAATTTCAATATTACTGTTAAACATGATTCGAGTTTTCAATTTTTAAAAATATTTTAGTGGTTTTAATTAAAGCATACTTTTGTTCTTAGCAGCAAACCTCGTCTACACTCCAGTGTTTTCTTCATACTAAAGTGAGGCTTGCTAACGACATATCATGACAAATCAATGCACCATGTGAATAATAATAGTGTTACTGACTTGCAAAGCCGTTCAATGATCACAGCCTATGAAATTAAAGAAACCACTGCCAGCAAAGTGTTGAAATAATAAACCACTTTCATTCATGATTGTGCATCTTAATTAGCCTTCTTGGTTCAATATACAAAAAGTGTTTCAATTTGTCTCTTATGAAAGTGGTCTAAAGGCACTGTTCATAATCAGCAATTTGACTTGCTTCAATTAATACATTTTTGTGAGCTGTGCACTAGCTAGCTGGATGTATTTGTTATTTGGAACAAATTAATAGAACATTTTGACCTTGCAAGTAAATTGTTTTCTCCCTGTACAGGCCGGTTATTTATATTCAGGTGTATTCAAAATTCCTGATAACATTATTCATAGATGGGGCCATTGAAGAATCGCAGGTCCGTGGACCCGGTCCATGGAGGGGGTCCATGGAGAGGGTCCATGGACCCGGTCCATAAAGGGGGTCCATGGACCCGGTCCAGACAAGGGGTCCATGGACCGGGGGTCCATGTTTTGTACTTTCCCGACAAAAATCTATGAAAACAGTAAATTTAGTGCGCCACAATCCCTAGCAGTATCCCTAGCAGTATTCCTAGCAGTATTCCTAGCAATATCCCTATCCCAGTGGTTCTGCATCATCAGTTCACAATTTTATTTTAAGTCCACAACAGGTGGGTTTCACTTAAAATTATCCCTTTCAAAAGCATTGTAATACTTTATGAAATACAAAATTTCTATATTTATTTTATGTGGCCTAAATAACAACGCTGTTTCCAAGCAGCATATCTGTTTTGTGTCAAGATTTTGTGTTATAAATATTACATGTAAATCGACTATGAAATATTCTAGCACGTATTAAGTATATAAACTATATTTTTATCAACATACCATGCGAGGTGAACAAAATCCGCATTAAAATCACTTCAAATATTGTACAACTGAACAAGTCACACGACAAGAGAAACAATATTATTTGCTTGATTGTATTTAAAAATAAATAATCCATATTTTCACGACATTTTAGAGAAATACCATAATTAGTGCAGAAAATTTCCAATTCGTTTATTATAAATTCGTCCGTTTGTTTATATTCGCATAAATTATATATTATTTAATTACTATTTTCCATATTTCACGCTGACAATACGTCAGACTCCGTGTTTTCCATATGACTCCGTGTTTTCCATATTTTTCTCTGACGTCAGACTCCGTGTTTTCCATATGACTCCGTGTTTTCCATATTTTTATGACGTCAGACTCCGTGTTTTCCATATGACTCCGTGTTTTCCATATTTTTTTCTGACGTCAGACTCCGTGTTTTCCATATGACTCCGTGTTTTCCATATTTTTATGACGTCAGACTCCGTGTTTTCCATATGACTCCGTGTTTTCCATATTTTTATGACGTCAGACTCCGGGACTCCAACTCCGGCACTCCGACTCCGGAACTCCGACTCCGTGTTTTCCATCTAACCGTCCCAATGTTGTTTTTGTATTCTCTGTCTATCAACTAATTGCTCTTACTTCAAAATGTCAATCTTGTTTATAAAAGTCCCCGCCCCTTGTCACGCCACCTAATGTGGCCTATACTAATTTCGGTTCACCGGGGTCGAGGAATTTGCTAATAGCGAATAAAAAATGACAAATCCCTGGGATGTTGCCCGGCCCGGGGGGGGGGGGGTGTTGGATGATAACAGTATGAATTAACTCATGCGTTACCATAACTATAGTGCCATTCTGTCACAAGGTTACTGATTTTAGACCCCTTCGGAAACAGTTTTCCAGAAGTCACCCCCTCGGAAATTCGCTGTAGAACCCAGTCAAATATTGATGGATTTAAATTATACAATAGATATCCTGTCTGGTACTGTATATAGATCTGAAACTTTTAGCAAAGATAATGTTGTGATATTTCAAAACAAAGTTGGGAGCATATTTTGGGACACAAGTAATAATCTGGAATTTATGCACGGCAATTTGAACTTTTGAGAGTCTATCAGTCTAAACTATTGCATTTATGTTAACTCTATATTAATGGTTGCTAAGTCCTTTCTAATAAGTGACTGAAGGGTGCATTAACAGTGGGATTGTCATAAATCTCTCCTTAATAGCCTGGGAGCCTCATTCTCATGAATTGTCAGCAAATTGCCTTCAATGTCTTGATTCATGAGACTGCGAGCCTCCCTAGCAGGCAAAGGATGTAGTCATGGTGTAATTATCAAAAGGATGTATTGTGATTGAATGGCACTATAGTTATGGTAATGCATGAGTCAATTCGTACTGTTATCATCCAACCCCCCCCCCTGGCAACATCCCAGGGATTTGTCATTTTTTATTCGCTATTAGCAAATTCCTCGACCCCGGGGCAACGCTGAAAATTGTAAGTACAAGAAAAATCAGCAGAGACATTAGTCAAATTATTTAATGAATTGAACTGCAAAGGTGTATTATTTTATTAATTTCTTCACCCTAAATAATGTAGAATTGTCTAATTTAATCCAGATGGATTTAACTGTAGCCTGCACCAGTTCTACTACACCAGACCTAGCATATGTTTAAAGCAAATTAATGTAAAGGTTGGTGACATCAGACAACATATTGTCTGGTATTAAATATATAGTATATTAGTGCATGTAAATAGACATTTTGTACTTCAATTGCTACAATGGCTTATTGCATTTTTTATCCATACACCCCCTGTTGAGGACATACCCCCCGGATTTCCAAGTATTTTTTTGTCAGAAGCCCTGGAAAAATGTGGTTTGTAGAAGGGGGTGCCTGGAATTCCAATTGTGTTTAATCAATGACACTTGGAAATTCATTTTTTTCCGCATGACTCCGGAATTCCACTGTGAATAAGTTGATCTCCCCTGGATTTCCTTGCCACTTTTTTGTCTCCATCCCTGGAAAAATGTGGTTTGTAGAAGGGGGTGCCTGGAATTCCAAGCACTTTTTTTCGATGATGACAATCAGTGACCCTTGGAAATGCATTTTTTCCGCATGACTCCGGAATTCCACTGTGAATAAGTTGATCTCCCCTGGAATTTCCAGTTCCGGTATCATTATTTTATCCCCTTTCCCGGAATTTCCATGTAAATCTTATTATTTTGACCCCCACCCACTGGAATTCCAGGGTTATTTCGACCCCAACCCACTGGAATTCCAGGTTGGTTTGACCCCCACCCACTGGAATTCCAGGGTTAAATATAAAAGGCATCCCCTGGATTTCCAAGGTCCTCAACAGGGGGTGGATGGATAAAAAATGCAATATGCCAGCCAATGCTACTTTATAGTCAAGATTATGTTATAAATTAGATAAATTGTATAATAAAGATTTCTGCTTTTATGTAAGGTAGTAAAACTGTGTGTGTTAGAATAAAACTTACCGATTTAACTTGCCGTCGATCGTGTAAATATTTAATACTGCATCCAAAGGAAAAGAAGACTAAAATCACAGCTGAAATTTTCACTCTTTGAAAACCGGAAACCAATTCTGAATATTCCGGAAATTCACTAGTGTTCATTAAAATACCGCTGATAAAATATTGTTATTGTTGGCTCATGGGGTTTAGGTCGATTATTCTGTGGTGGTGCTAGTGCCTTCCGAATTCCGATGTACTCAGCTCGGCATAAAATAGGCTAGAGGAGAAGCGGCATTATACATTTGTCAGTTAAAATATGGCTCAAGTGTTTGCCAAGCGCAATCCACGAGGACAAAGCAACCAATCACCGCATATTTACGATTTATCGGTACAGAATTCCCTGCGCGATCGTCCAATAGGTTACGTCGTTAACAGTCATCAAATACTTTATCATGGTTGGTATCGTTTCACAGAAGACGTGAAAAACTATGAACCACTTATAGATAGCCTCGAACATGCTTTTTCTAATTCTGTGTTTTGCTGCGGAGGATATGTACGCACACCAGATGACAACCTCGAAGATTTTATCTTAAAAGTGAAACCGAAAGCTGGTTCCGAAGACGAGGAAAATTGGAAGAAATTCTCGCTGAACAAAATTCTTCCTGAAGATCTAATGGAATACTGCAATCCTTCACCATTCGGAGATTTAAAAGAAATGAAAACAATACTTGACCCTGAAGTTCGTCTAGCTCATGAAATTGAAACAGATAGATTTGATTTTGGTTACGTAAGTCGGAGACATACAGATAGATTTGTACAATCTAAAGTATTGCCTGGGAATTTTTCAATAGATTACCATATTGCAGACGAACTCGTGCCGGGAAGACATATCGATCTGAAGCGAAATAAATTGAATATTTACGGGAAGGGTGGTTTTTTCAAGTCACATGTAGATACTCCCTCGCATGATAACATGATAGGAACACTGGTTGTATGCCTTCCTTCACCCCACAAAGGAGGAGAGTTGATCGTTAGCCACGATGGCCTTGAACATGTCTTTGACTTTTCGAAGCTCTCGGATGATCCCAGCGTATTTCAATGGGCTGCGTTTTATGGGGATTGCGTTCACGAAGTGAGACCTGTTGTTGAAGGCTTTCGAGTTACAATTACGTACGGTATCACCTTATCAGATCGTAGAAACTTGAAGGAAGGTTACTGTGACAGACGTCAAACTCCTGTGGAAGAGCATTTCGAAATGAGCGCAAAATGCGAATTGCATTCCTTTGCTAAAGTAGATCGTGCCCTCGCAAATCTTCCAGAAAAACTTGGTTCCAAAGCACCAGACTATATTGGGTTTATATTAAAACACAAGTACACCTTACCAGGGCTGCAACCAAATATGCTTAAAGGTGAAGACAAAGATTTGCTCGATTACCTCACTGACAAGGGTTGGAAATGTCAACTTAAAACTATCCTATCCAGATTTATGACAACAATGGTGTCTATTGATATAGGGGAGATGGATATTGAAGAAACGCATGAGATATACGAATTCAAACCACATGAAGGCATCCCTCCTGACTATGAGTGGTACTACCCTTCCTTACCCGAATGGTCTGATCGTTTCTCGGGCCGACAAAATCCACTCCGAAATTTTCGTGAGTGGCGTGTTGGAATTCCTTTTATTGAAATATATCGGAAGCCAGATGACGGTAAGCTTGTACGCAACAATGAAGGAAAAAGTCGATGGGTTGGTAATGAAGTGCATGATGTTGATGTGGATAAAATTTATTTGGATTCTGCTCTCATTGTCCAGCTTGGAAACAAGACTGAGTAAATCTTTTTAGAATAACTGAAGTCTGAACTATATATACATGGACAAGCCAAAAACAAATTATCGAGACTATACTATTACTAGCTAAAAAATATAATTTGATAATACACAGTATAACTATAAGTAAATAAAATATAATTTTAAGAATGAATATATATAACGACGTTAACATTAATCTGCGCGAGGTTGAAACGAATATATATAAATTTCAATGACAATGTGCATAAAATGGTGCATCATATCATATGACACCTCACCAATATTATTAGTGTTAAACATATATTATATATTACTCATTGATTAATTCCGTAATTGTTGATCAACAGTTATACTGTCTATACTGGTATAGCAAATTTTATGCCAAAATATGTAAAATGGGCTTTCAAGATTAAATGGGCTATTTAATACTTAATATTTAGTCTTGAACTGTCTGTGAACAACGAAAGCTTGCTCATTATTTAGTAAAAGCAATCTGGGTTTTGTCGAATCCGTGGCTAATTTCGTGAAAAGTAGGCTCGTTATTCGATCTCAAAAAATCAGTTTGATATCATTTTGTGCAGTTGATTTTATGTTGTGGACTTGTGGCTGCATAGTTCGGGTGTTAACCCGGGAAAATGTTGAAAATTGTGGGTCACAGGAACGCCAATTGAAACCAATGGTTGAGGCTATTTTTCTACAGACAGCATCAATGTGACTGCAAGGGGGTGCAAATCCGATTCTGGGGAAGGGCAATTGCCCACCCAGTTAAGAAA